TGAGCCGCATGTCTCTGATCAGCAGAGAAATAAATCTTCCCGCTCTCCCTGCGAGCCAGGGGCAGGTCGCTCCCACGAAGGGGAGGGAGCTGAGGGGACGGAGGTGGGGTGTGGGGGGCAGGGTGGCAGAGCCGGTGGAAGCTGGAAATCTAATGTTCAATCCTCACGTGTTTGGTGGCTGTGATGTGAACCCCTCCCACCTCCATAAATGTTCTGCAAGGTCCCCGGGGCCGTGTGCAGCTTCTGTGGGGAGTGGAGAAGACACGCTCCAGCTCCATCCATATCGGACTTGGTGGGAGCAGAGGGAGGGGGAAGGCTGGTGGGGCGAGGTAGGTAGGGCCAAATGTGACCATGGGCCCGGAAGCCCCTGGAAAGGTGTAGAAATCTTGGGGACACATGGTGGCCGGGCCTTTGGCTGACATTTGGGTGACATCAACTTTTGTCCCCCTGCAGTGTCTCTTCAGGGATCTGCCCACTGTCAGCTCCACGGGGCGGTCCCCGTCTGTCTGACGGCCCCTTCCTCCCCAGCCCCCAGCCCCAGGCCTCGAGAACCGCTGGGAAGACTTAGCGATAATCAATCATCATCTACTGACTACCCGCTTGTCCTCAACTCTTCTCCAGTATTGTCACACCCCGTCCTCCCGCTGTGCTCTCCGTCGCACAGGGCTGGACACCGAGAGGAGAAGAAAGTGGCCCAGGATGCAGGCTGGCTCCAGTCAGGATTTTAAACCCGGGCAGTCTGGCTCCAAGCTGAAGCCCTTCGTCACTTTCCAGATTTCGTTCCCTTTGGCCAATCCTGCTGGTCAGTGGGTTTGGTTCCGAGTTAACACTGCTGAGCAGCCTCCTCTTAGACCTCCATCCCCCTCGCTAAAACGTAAGTTCCACGAAGGCCGGAATCTCTGTGTTCCCTGGTACCTGCCAAGCACCTCTTTAACTAGTGGAATTAACCGGTATGTTACTGAATGGAAATGTGACCTGATGTTTGTTCTTCCAGCCCCAGCCGGTGAGGCCTGTCACACGACCCCGCTGGTGGCCTCGGGCACATTGGCATCGCTGCTTCTCAAGCCGCAGATGAGCTGAGTTGTTGAACCCCGCAGCTCAGGGCCAGCCAGCCACCCCGGAGCTCAGGGGTTTATGGGAGGCTCCGCTGCTGCTGGCGCGGCCATGAGTCACCGCTAACCCATCACAGCTCTGCGAGGAACAAGGGCCGCAATGCTGCTGGAATTACACATGTGACATAAACGCCCAAGCCTGGCTGGCAGCCCGAGGCCTCTGTTCACTGGCCCTGTCTCGACCATTTACATGCTGTGTGACTTTGAGCTAATCGCTTGTCTGAGCCTCAGTTTCCCCATCTGCCATTTGGGGGTGGATTATGTCTCCGCCAGGTGCATCTGGCTTCCATTGCCAGCACTTTGCCGCGGCTGCCCATGCCAACCACATCCTATGGCAAGGTCCTTGGGCACCTCTTATACAGTCCTTAAGGTCACCATAGGTTGACGCTGGAAGAGCGGTGAGAAGGGAGGTGGGAAGATTCAACAGGGCTTTGGAAACCAGGCCCAAGACCTGAGACTTAACCACGAGGACGGTGGGAAGGCACAGAAGACTTTTTCTTTAAGAGACAGGGTCTCGCTCCATCGCCCTGGCTGGTGTACAGTGGCCTGATAGCCCACTGCAGCCTCGAACTCCTGGGCTCAAGCCATCCTCCCGCCTCAACCTCCCAAGTAGCTGGTACTACAGGTGCACACAGCCATGCCCAGCTAATTTTTCTTTTTTTGTAGAGACAGGGTCTCTCTATGTTCCTCAGGATGGTCTTGAGCTCCTGGCCTCAAGTGATCTTCCCACCTCGGCCTCCCAAAGTGCTGGGATTACAGACGTGAGCCACTGCACCCGGCACAGGAGACTTTTAAACTGGGAAGCAGTTGAAACATATCTGGTTAGACTTGTGCTTTAGGAAGACTGTTTTGGCTTCAGAGGGGTGCACAGGTAGACTAAGCAGAGGGCAGCAGGAGGAAGGGCTGGCAGGGCTGCCGAGGAGGACCAAACAGAGGGAATGATGTGCAAAGTCCATCAAGAGCACGGCAAGGAGAAAACCCGGGACCCCAAGGAAGCTCTGTGGTCCCAGCAGGAAGCGGGCCCTGGGGAAGGGGCGTGATGAGACTAAGGGTGCAGACAGAGCGTGGCTTTCCCCCCAAAGCCACAGGAGGGTTTTAAAGAGGGGAATGACAATGAGGTTTGCGTTACTCAGAAACTCACCTGGGCTGCCGCGTGGAGAATGAATTTAAGGGGAGAAAGGCCAGCTCCAAGGAGGCCAGTCAAGGAGGTACTGTTGACCCAGCGGAAGACGCTGAGAGCGCAGCTGGGGGCGTGGCCAGACTCTGGAGACTTGGGAGGTAGAAGCTAAAGGCCTGGCCACCGGATGGGTGCAAGGAGGAACAGAGACATCAAGGGCAAGTCCTAGGATGACCTTGGGCAACCTGAGATGAGAAACACACGGGAGAAGCTGAGTGCCGTTTAGGTCAGGGGCCAGCCAACTTTTTCTTAAAGGTCCAGAGATTTTACTGAACGAATGGGCGTAGCTGTGTGCCAATAAAACTTTATTTGCAAAACAGATGGCAGGCGGAATTCGGCCTGGGGACAGTACTTTCCGGATCCCCAGTTTACATTTGATGTGCCTACTCTGGATTCAAACAGAGAGCCTCAGGGAGCAGTCGGAGAAATGCATCCCCAGTCCAGCCAAGCACCGTCTACACCACACGCTGCAGAGAGCTGGGACAGCATGTGGCTGACGTGCCTGGACTGGATTTGTCACCAAACGCTTGCATCCCTGGTGAGAGGAGTCAGTTGCAAGAGAATGACAAAAACCAAATCAAAATAGATTCAGGAGGGATCTAGAGGTTAGGAAAATGGCGACAGTAAGACTATCGTCAATTCTAAAGAAATAAGGCTGGAAAGATGCAGAGAAAGGTGGCAGCTGCCAGGAAAGATGGGATGGAGTGTGTGAGTGTGTGTGTGTGTGTGTGTGTGTGTGTGTGTGTGTTTTAAATGGGAGAGATGTTTCTCAATGCCAATGGGAAGAGAAAGGACGATCGAGGCTCCAGCAGAGGCAGGGGCTGAATAATGACTCGCCCGCTAACAGCCACGGGGCCGGGTGAAGAGATTGCTGTCACTTCCTCTTCTGTAAACTGAAGGAACGACAGGCTCTACCCGGTCGGGCTCAGTTGAGGAGCAGACCAGGTGGTCAGCACGCCTGGGTCAGCTGCAGCAGATGTCATTCTTTTTTCAGGGTTTGTGTGTGGGGCTGGGAGGTTGGGTTTTTGTTTTTTAGAGACAGGGTCTTGCTCTGTCGCCCAGGATAGACGGGCCCCATCATAGCTCACTGCAGCCTCAAACTCCAGGCCTTAAGCAATCAATCCTCCCACCTCCCGAAGTGCTGGGATTACAGGCGTTAAGCCACCGCGCCTGGACTGTTATTCCTTTTGTCAAGTCTAGGTGTACCCAAGCCCACAGTCTGCAAGGTTTCCCAGCTTTGCAGGCGGCCCTGGTGATCCGGGAACAAACTGAATTATTATTTTCTTCTGTTCTCCTGCGATGGCCTAAATAAATGAGTTTTTTGTTTGTTTTTTTAAAAAAAATCAATAGGAATAGCAGCAACATAAAGTAGGTTTACTCCAGAGCTTAGCAGAAGTACTAGAGGCAGGATGTTTATGAGGGTTCGATCTCCTTTGCTCTGTTGGATCAGTGAGTGACCGTCTGTAATTGGTCCGAGTCAGGCCTCCTGGACCTGTGTTTTCTATGGGGGAGGGGGAGTGGGAGGCCCCTTTGCAGCCTGAGATTTTACTGCAAATTAGAGTGGGAAAGGTCTGCAGTGGGCCGAACAGTGTCCCCCGCTAACATTCATGTCACTTGGAACCTCAGACTGTGACTTTATTTGGAAGTAGGGCCTTGGCAGAAGTAATTAAGGTAAGGATGGAGATGAGATCGTACTAGATCCAGGTGGGCCCTAAACCCAGTGACTGGTGTCCTTATAAGATACGGAGAGGACGCACAGAGACACACACAGAGGAAAGGCCAGGCGAGGACGGAGAGACTGGAGTGATGTGGCCAAGAAACGCCAAGGGACACCAGGAGCCACCAGGAGTGGGAAGAGGCGAGGAAGGACCCATACAGCCTTCGGAGGGAAGAGGGCCCTGCAGACACCTTGACTTTAGAATTCTGGCTCTAGAACTTTGAAAGGATAAATTTCCGTTGTTTTAAGCCACCTACTATAAGGTCATTTGTTATGGCAGCCCTAGGACACTGACACCATCTGGCTTCATGCTTGGTCTAGGGGAATGAAGGACACAGTGTCCCTGGGGCCACTGTGGTGGACCCTCTCCAGCGTCGGAATGGCAGGAAGCAGCATGTAGACCAAAGCCTGGGCTGCACACGACCACATCCGAGACAGCGGGAGGACTGAGGTCGTGCTGCCCCTGGGAAGGGCCCGTCAAACCCACCGTCAGAGGCACTTTGCGTCAACTCCAAAACTGCCCTGACTTGAGACACAATTCAGATTAACTTTTGATTTACAAATACTTTGAAAATGCCGCTCATTCATGGCCCCAAAATTTTACTTCTAGGAGTTTATCTTAAGGGAAAATCAGAAATTCAGATGAAGCTTCATCCTCTGGGATGTTTACCGTGACATTATTTATAATACGGAAAAACCAGAAACAGTCTAAATGTCCAACAGTGAGGAAATGGTTAGATAAATTACAGTATATCCACAAGATGGATTACTAAGCAGCCACTGGTAAGATTTACGAAGAATGTTTAATGTTTACAAAGAGCTTTTAATGACGTGGGAGAATGGTGGTGATATAATAAGTGGAAAAAAACCTGGTTATAAAATGATACAATATGATGTCAATCATGAAAAAAGAAATGCACACAAAAAAAAAAAGACTGAAAGGAAACATGCCAAGATGTCAACATGGTCTGGATTTGGAAGAATAATGGTGTTTAAAAAAAACTTTTTACTTTTCTGTACTTTTAAAATGATTTACTATGTACATGGATTACTTCCATAATCAAGAAAAAAGTAAAAACTTTTAAAATGCTGTGTACGTGGTTTCCATTTTTATTTTCTCTGATGAGTGATTGCACATCAGCAAATCTTGAGTTACGCTAACTACTTAGGCCGGTCACGACACACACACGTATAGAGAGGTCACACGGGCTGTGCCGGGCTGGCTGTAGCAAATGTACATCAAGTTACACGAGTGGAACTGTTTGGTGGCTGGTTAAGACACGCCACCAAGTGCTGGGGCACAGTCGGGTCAGGCTGCCTCTCCCGCCCGGTGCTGTTCTTGATGGAGGTCTGTGTGTTGGGCTGGTGAGGTGGCGTCTGCTGGCATCTCTGCAGCGGCCCCTGGGGGGTGCAGTGCCTGGGTCAGCATCTGCTCTGGGTCTCCTTCTCGTCCACCCTGGCCTTGGTGTTGGAGCCTCCAGCTATCTGCCACCTTTTCTGCGCACCGGCCCAGGTCCCCCAGCCCCACTCCATTCCACGTGTCCACCTGGGGTGGACATGGCAAGCTGAGAGCTCAGTGGACGCCCCCCCCCGATGTGAACTGTGCCCAGACACAGGATAGGAAGAAGCAGATGTGACCACGACACCATACACAAGCTCGATCTTTACAGATGGGCCCTGCGTGTCTCCAAGAACGCTATGCGGATGGTGCCCGAGAGACACGTTGAGCTGTATGGAGCCCTCCAGAGCACAGCCGCTGGGGGAGGACAAACAGGGGACGGGGCCTGTGCCCGTGGGGGGCCGGCCTGACAGCAGAGCTAGGAGGGTGGATGGGGGATGTGTCCAACATGGTGCTAGATTGTTGAAAAGTCACAACTACACACGCCTGGGGAGCATGCCCCTCTCCCAGTTCATTCGCACGGCGGGTTAGATACAGCTAGATAGAAATGGAGATATACTTTTTTCAGGGAGGACCTTTCTTGGTGGTTGGATAACAGTGAGACAGACTCCTGGGTTTGGCATGCTCTGGGGAGGGCCATGCGACAGTGAGGGACTCCCTATTGCTACACTCTGTACAGGGTGGCCTGGCCCGCCTACTGCGCCATGGCCCGGGCGGCAGTCACGGGCTTGCCTTCAACCCCTTCTGCCTTGGAGAGCTCTTGGGCCCCAGTGAAATGGGGGCTGTGAAGACAAGAGGGTGGGAGGGGGGTCCCCGTGGCCCTGGGAGCACCCTACGTGGGCACTACATGATGTTGCACTGGGTGGCCCCGCAGCAATCTTTGATGAGTGCCAGCCCTGTCTTGGCCACCGTGGGCTTGCTAGGTGGGGGCTCTGCTTTCTTCTCTGCCCGGGAGCCTGCAGCAAGACAGGAGCACAGAGGGAGAAGGGACAGAGAGAAAGAGGGGAGGTGAGGAGAGCCCTGACCATCTGCAGCCCCAGCCCCAACCCAACCCCTGGCCAGGTATTACTGTTCCAGGCCTTGTTCAGGTGGTATGGAGAGCTGACGTGCATTTTATATGGTAACTGTTCCCACTTTCCTTGGGCACATGGGCTTTTTGATTCTCAGCTTTCAACCATAGCTTTCAGCCCTTCTCCTAGTCAGCTCTCCTCACCATCATACCGGCCGAGCCTAGCACATCGGCCGGCACTCAAGAAGTATTTGGCAAATGGAAAATGGGGAATTTTGTTCGCATCACTTCAATCTGAGGGCTCATATTTTTCAGTTCTTGAAATTGCTCATACTTTTTAAATACCTCCACCTCCCATTCTTTATCTCCTTCTAGAATGACTACCAGTTGTAAGTTGGACCTTCTCATTCTAGCCTGTATGTTTCATAATCTCTCTTTTGTATTTCCCACCTCTTTTTCTCTTTGTGCTACATGCTGAGTAATTTTCTCAGGTCTGTCTTCCAATTTATGAATCCTCCCTTTAGCTTTGTCTCTGTATTTAATCCATTGACTTTTTATGTATGTCAGTGCCAATGATTTTTTTAGAAGGCTAATTTTTTGCAAGTCCACCTGTTCTTTTTTCAAAGCATCCTCCTGTTTTGGTTTTTATTCCTTCTCTTATCTCTTTAGTAAATTAAATATACTTAGTTTATTATCTCTTTTAAAATAGTTCTATTATTTCTGGTTCTTGGGAGGACATTCTCTGTGTTGCATCTACTGATTCCCCTCGTGGTGATTCAATTATTCATGGGTTTTTAATTTTTATTGAGAGCTCATCTTCATGGCGGTTGTTTTATCTGTGGGAGTGCTGCGTACCACAGGATTCAGAAGGATCCCTCCTTAGCAGTTTTGTATTTGCTCTTGATAAGGTCCTAGAGATTTCACTCATTTTAGAGTAGTTTTTATTTTTCGACTTGGGATTCCAGCACCAGATTTGTAGTGTAAATACTAGGTCCCTTGCATGTGGTGCAGACTTGGTGTTTAATCTCTTGCCAGAATCATCTCTTTTTTCCATCCATATTGATACACAGAAGGCAAGTTTCCTTGCTCCTTCTCCATGCTTCTAGGTGGAGTTTTTCTACTTTGCCTTTCATGGAAGAGACAGTCCATTGAGGATGCTGGCTTTAGGCAGTGATCGTGTGCCTTGTGGTTTTAGGGGCCAGTAGAAAGGACCATAGTTCTTCTCTTCCCTTACTCCCCACACTCTACAACCATGTTTCCATAGGATGTTAATGATGGTCAGTGAAAACTGGGTTTGTGGTTGTATAGATAGTAACAGCATTTGTTTTTTGTTTTCCCAGCAAGATGCCCAGTCCCTCTTCCTCTGGTAACAGATCATGTCCCTGTGGCTTCAGGAGTGGCATGTTACACAGACCTGGCCAATCACAGTACCCCAGCCTCTTGGTGACAGTAAGAGTTGGGAACATGATCCAAGAAGAACTGATTAGAATCTTTCCCTGAGAGTTATGTATTTAGACACCAGGGGAAAGAATCTGTGGCACTGCCTCAGAGCTTCTAAGTTGTCAGTCTGGAGTTCTGGCTCCATAGAGAAGGCCCATGTAGCAGGAGAAAATGAGCTAACATGCAAAGAGGGACAGGGATGAGAAAGAGAAGGAAAGTGAGGGAGCTAATAGTGCTCAGTCCCTGAGGCCCTAGTTCTTGTTGCTCTTCCTCCAACAAATCCCCTTTTTTGCTTCGATTTGTTTGAACTGGGCATCCATTTCTTTTTTTCTGTTTATTTTCTTCTTTTCCTCTTTCTTTTTCTTTTTTTTTTTTTTGGAGACAGAGTCTTGCTCTGTCACTGGGCTAGAGTACAGTGGCATCATGATAGCTCACAGCAACCTCAAACTCCTTGGCTCAAGCGATCCTCCTGCTTCGGCCTCCTGAGTAGCTGGGACTACAGGCACGTGCCAACATGCTCGGCTAATTTTTTCTATTTTTGCTCAGGCTGGTCTCAAACTCCTGGCCTCAAGTGATCTTCCTGCCTCAGCCTCCCAAAGTGCTAGGATTACAGATGTGAGCCACTGCACGCAGCCTCCGTTTCTTATAACTGTAAGAGGCCTCACTAATACAGCAGTTGGACACATTTGAGAAACACCGGGTAGACATAAAGAAGACAGTTCCTTGACAGCAGGATCCATTATCACTTCAATATCCTAATGAACATCAGGACCCTCCAAATAGGGTCAAGAATACAACATTTCATAAACTTAGTTCACACAGAACCCCTTTTGCTCTGGGTGTCCTGTGAGGCTAATATTCTGAGAAGTGTGCTTCTCACTCCTCCAGTGATTCCAGCCCTAATAGAGGCCAGAGCTCCCTGAGCCTAAGTGGCCACCCAGTTCCTTCTATGGAATTCACCAAACCATGTGATTAGGGAGGGACAGCTACTGCCAGAACTAGCTACATAGTTTGTGGAGTTCAGTGCAAACTAAAACTAAGGGCCCCTTGTTCCAAAATTTTTAAGAATTTCAAGACAGCAGTAACAGAACATTAAACCAAGCAAGGTACCCTTCTAGGTGTGGGGCCCTGGGCATCTGCATAAGTTGCAGGCCCATGAAGCTGGCCCTGCCTGCTGCCATCTCATGCTCAGGTTTGATCTCTAGCAAGCATTTTGCTGTGCCCCCTCTGGCTCCCAGACCTCTTTAAAATATCCTTTTCCCTTTCTTGGAGGAGGAGAAGGAATAATGTATGCACTCACTGGCTGGAGATTTGGTTACTTTGTCTAGAGGTTTTAACTTGATTCTCAGGAAATCGGCCATTTCCTTGTCTTCTTCTTGCTCCCTGTGAAGGCAGATGTGTAAAAGACAAGAAGAAAGTACAGTAAGCAAAGAAAACTTCAAGGAACCAATGAAATGAAACCGTAGGTTAGTGCGTGGAACCAAGTGTCAGGCTTTGCAGATGGCGCATATATGTTGTTGTGTGTTATGTGTGTATGTTGCATTTGATGATCCTGCTCTGAACCAGAGACACATAACAATGGGGTAAATGCTCACCCAGAGCTAGGGTGAGACCCCAGGGCACAGGCTGGGACATTACAGGACCCAGGCTCCCTGCTGGGGTCAGTGAGCCAGGCAACACCTCTCCTGACCCTGTACCTTTAAGCTACCCTATTCACCTGTGCTCCCAGAGGGTACGTTGCAAGTCTGAGAGAACAAGTCATCTTCGATCTTCCCAGGGTCACCAGGATAAAGTTGGTGGGTCCAGCCTGGTTGAGCTGGGCCAGGCACATTGCAGGGGCCTTGGAGAGGGGTCTCTGAGAGCACAGAATAAAGAAGAAGTTGCCCTCTGGGTTGGAAGGGGCCCTGAGGGCCTCTCTTCTCATGGAGGGCTTCAACTGCAGGAGAAGTTTTGAGAAGTTGCCTTGATGAGTTGGGAGGGTGTGTAGGAAGCTCTGCCATGTGTTATGTAATATAATTCCTCCCTGGTCATCTCCTCGAATGACATTCACTGAAGATACACAGACTTTTGCAAGATTTTTTGGAGTTGGATTTGGGTTTCTCTTGAAACCCAAATTTGGGTCCTCAGGCCGGAAGGCTGGGCTTCATTTGGATGCAGCGTCCGAGGACTGACACTGAGGCCATGTGTGCTAGGCAAGGCTGGGAGTCCCAGGAGCAGACGATGGGTTCCGGAAGGAAGCCCGGCGCTCGCAGACACCTGCCCACTCACCGTAACCGCTCGACCTCCGCGTCGTCCACCAGGAAGTCTCTCTTCTGCACCAGTTTGTGGATCTTCTGGATCAGCTCATCCTCTCTCTGCTTCTGCAGCTTGGTTTTTTCTTTTTCTGGAAGAGGAAAACATCGGCAAAGAAACAGATGAGGGTGACTATCGAAGGCACTTGAGTCCGTCTGTCTGCCTACGACAGGCGTGGACAGTTTCTTCTAGATCTGGAAGCAGAGCCGGAGGTGAGGAGAGACAGGAGAGGAAGCTGGCATCTCCCACTGCCCAGTGAAGATGGGCAGCGGAACTGCTAGCCGCCCCCCATTCCCAGCCATTGCTGCGATGGACGATGGCGGTGTCACTCCTGTCGTGGTGGGTCCCTGGGGTCTGATCCCCCAAATCACTCACCGCCCTCTCCAAGTGGGCGCCAGCACCCACAGACGCGCCAGGGCTGCGTGGTGCGACTGTCCTCCGCCAATAACCCTGCACAGCACTCCAGCACTCCCAGGTGCCCTGCCCCACTCCCCAGAGCTTGGCCAGGATCACGTGACAGCTTGCTGGGCCCCCAGCACCTGAAAACATCTGTCCCCTAGTTATTCCTCCCCCCACATTTCCTATCTCTCGCCCATCGAGGCATCCCCCGGCCTCCCCCGCTCAGCTGTGGCGCCTCCAGCGATTCCTGGGAGAAGCCGCCTAGTCACAGAGGTGGGCTGCACAGCTCACGACCCCGTGACTGGCCCGAGTCTCCGAGTCCCTGGCCAGGGCTGCTCACCTGCCTGCTGTGCGCCACGTACCCTTCCTGTCAACATCTCCCCACTGCAGGCACTACCTTCCTGCTTGAGGATGCGACCCTCTCGCTTGGCAGCATCACCCACCTGCTTGTCATTGAGAACTCCCAGCTGGCCAACTGCCCCCCTGCCTGCTGGCATCACATACCTGATTCCTAATGTCCCCAGGGGCTTGCCATATGACCCTCCAACTTGCTTCTCACCTGCTCCAGGTCATCTCCTGTGCCCAGGCCACCTTCATCTCTCCCTGGACCATGCCGTGGCCTCCTGACTGATCCCCCTGGCCCACGGCTCCTATTCTAACAGTGAGTCCTCCCTGTAGAATCACACGGTCCTGGCTCGATGCCCCAGCTCCCCACTCTTTCTAGCTGTGTGACTCTGGGCACATTCCTCAACCTCTCTGAGCTTCCAATCTCTCAACGCAGATAATCATAAAGTTGTTGCAAGTTTTAAGAGATCTAAACCGAGGAAAATGTTAATACCTAGCTCACTGGCTGGTGCACAGGAAGGGCTCATGAAGAGTTAGCCGCTATTATTACACACTATTATTTTACATTGTCACTATTGTTTTAATGATTAAATGCCCTCCAGATTCAATATTTACCAAACCAGGTGCAAAAGAAATAAATACTTATTTAATGAAGGAAAAGCAAACATGTTAAGTGTGCAAACACGGTAAGTGCTTAATAGATTGCAGCTATTAGAATTCTATTCGTTTCATCATGAGCTTACAGTTTCATTTAATCTAGGCCTCTCCACGTCAGCGCTGTGGACATGTGGGACCAGACAGTTCCCTGGTGTAGGAGGCCGCCCCGTGCACTGAAGGATGTCCCGCACATCCCTGGCCTCCGTCCACTATACGCCAGCAGCACGCCCTCCCCCCACCAAGTTGTGACAACTAAAAATGTCTCCAGACATTGCCAAATGTTCCATGGGGGACAAAATCACCCGCAGTTGAACACCACTGCTTTCATTCTTCCTAACAACCCTAGGACACGCACTATTTTTACCAAGACATCATTTTCATGTTCAAGGGGAAGGTGCCCACGCCCCACAGCCAAGCCTGTGCGTCCCCAGCTCTAAGGTGGTGGGGGGAGCCGTGGAGATGGGGCGAGACATTCGGCTGGTCCTCGAGAAGCCCTCAAGGCAGGAAGGACCCCAGGTGTTCTCCAATCACAGAAACCCCCCCACTCACCACCCAGTAGCTGGCGAATCATTTTCTGACTCCGGCTCAAGAAACATGATTTTCTTGGCTGTTCGTGGTTTTCTCTACTTAATACTGGTATTGATGTGTTGCCAGAAACATCAAGGATTTTCCCCCCCGAACTCAGCTAAATCTATCTAGAAACCTGGCACTGGTCCAGGGAACACAGAGAAAGCCTCTCACCCAGGAGGACAGAGCAGAAGGTGGGGACAGGTGACTACAAAGGCAGGAGAGGAAAGAGGCTCTCACAGAACTCTGAAATCTGAATTTCTGCCAAAAGTCATGGGGAAGAACTGGTTTCTGGGGACTCAATGGGACTGGGCTCTGTTGCTAACCGGCCCCAGGACCTTGTTCGAGTCGTGTTTCTCAGTGGGGAAGTCAATGGCATTTGGGGCAGGACATATTCCCCTGTGGGACCAACCCCACCTTGCAGGTTGTAGCATCCCTGGCCTCTGTGCACAAAACGTCAGTATTGATCCCGTCTCTAATTATACTTTTGGTATTTTGCTCATTATGGATTTATTTTTGCATGCATATTGATTTTTTAAATGTTGCGTTAAGATATTCCTGCCATGGACCAGCCCTGGTCAGCTGTGCTGTTCCAAAGACCACCCAGTTTCTCACATGCCCTGGAGGGGAGCCCCTCTGGCCTGCAGTTGCCTTGGCAGACCCAGGGGCCCCACACTCATTCCCCCTGTGCCCTGACACGTGGGAGCTCGGCTGGTTCCCACGGATCCTGCCAAGCCAATGGGGGGCCCTGGGAATCCTCCCTCCCACGAGGGAGATGGTGACCCACACTGGGCCCATCAGAGTCTCCTGGGACATTCAGGAGACTCGCATGGGGAGATCATGGCAGGGAGACGGGGTGGCCTTGCTCCACTCACGAACTGGAGGGAGAAAACAGGATGTGCACTCAAAATGGGAGTCAGCTGGGGGGAAGAACATTCCACTGGCTTTCCTGTTCCTGGTTCCAGACCCTTGTGGGGCTGGGCTGGGCTTCATGTCTGTAGTGGGTTGAATAGTGTCTCCTCCTGCTGTGGTCTGAACGTTTGTGTCCCCACCGAATGCAAATGTTGAAATCCTTACCCCCATGGCGATGGTAGTAAGAAGTGAGGCCTTTGGGAAGTGAATAGAGCATGAGGGTGGAGCCCTCATGAATGGGACTAGGGCCCTTATAGAAGATGCCCAAGGGAGCTTACTGGTTCCTTCCACCATGTGAGGACATGGTGAAGCCACTGCCTATGAGGAACAGGCCCTCACCAGACTCCAAATCTGCTGGCACCTTGATCTTGGACTTTCCAGCCTCGAGAACCATGAGAAATAAATGTTTGTTGTTTATAAGCCACCCGGTCTATGGTATTTTTGTTATAGCGGCTCACACAGACTAGGACACTCATAAAATTCATATTTACCCCATATGGAAATAGTGTCTTTTTCTCTCTCCCTCACCCAAATTTATGTCTATCCTAGTTAGAAATACCCATTTCCAAAGTAATTTGGAAGTTACTTTGCAGATGTAATTAGTTAAGCTAAAATGAGGTCATATTCTTTAGGATGGGCCCTAAATCCAACCACCGGTATCCTTATAAGAAGAGGAGGGGACACAGAGACACACACAGGGAAGAAGCCATCTGATGACGGAGGAGGAGATAGGAGTAACGCAGCTACAAGCCAAGGAACACCAAGGATCGTGTAGAGCTACCAGAAGCTGAACGAGGCAAAGAAATACTCTCCTCTAGAGTCTTAGGAAGGAGGGTGGACTGTTCACATCTTGATTTTGGAGGTCTGGCCTCCAGAGCTGTAAAAGAATTCATTTCTGTTGTTTAAGCCACCCGGTTTGTGTTAATTTGTTAGGGCAGCTCTAGGGAACAATGACCTCGGGCTCCACGGGACTCCATAACCCTCCTAGTCATTGCAAGTTTTGTGCTCACATAAGAGTGAATGGGTTTCTACACCTTTCGACCAAACCATTCCTTGGAGGGCTATAAAATGAGACAGTAGGACAGGCCTGGTGGTTCCCAATCCCAGCTGTTCATCACAATCACATGGGAAGCTTTTAAATGACCAATCCCAGAGCTTCACACCCGATCAACTGCATCAGAATTTCTAGTGTGTGGTGTCTAGACTTTGGTACTTTTCCCCTATTCTTTTATTGTTTTGTGTTTGACATTTAACTTTTTTTGGGAACAGCTTTATTGCAATATGATTCACATACCATGGAATTCATCTGTTCCAAGCGTATTCAGGGTTGCGCAACCATCACCACAATCCATTTTCAGAACATCTTAATCACCCCAGAAAGAAACCCCATACCCACTAGCTGTCACTCCCTTTCAATTAGGAGAGTCTAGCCACTCATTTATTCCCAAGGCCTGCTCAGTGGCTGGCACCTAGTAAATGCTCATTAAAGAAATAGTACCCAGTTCTACCGTCATTTCACATGCTACTCTTACAACAAGACTGTGTTTTGAACACACCCACGCTTTGCATTTGTTATATGAGACGTTCAAAACCACCATGAGAGGGCGGCATGATTGGCATGCCTCATTTTACAAACAAGGAATTTAAGGCTCAGAGAAATTAAGTTGTTCGATGAAGGTCACCTAGCTGCTAAGGCTGGATTTGAACCCAGATCACTGTACCCTAAAGTTAATAGTTCTTAGATGGGGCAATGTTGCTCCCCCGCCTTGGGGGACATTCAGCAACATCTGGAGACATTTCTGACTGGCACAACTGCAAGGGCAGGAGGAGGTTGTGCTGTCGGCCTGTAGTGGGTAGAGGCCAGGGATGCTGTTTAACATCCTACAGGCCACCACACAGAGCCCCCCAACCCAAACAAAAAGTTATGAACCCCAAACGATGATACTGACATTTTGACAGCCGTAGTCATCAACAGCGTCAAGGCTGGGAAATGCTGCTCTGGTTATTCTGCTCTCGTAGCTCAGTGACAGCTGTCAATTATGGGTACCCACTGTGTGCCTGGACAGGAGGGAGTCATTCTGTGTGCCTCACTGCGTGCCCAGCACCGAGCTCAGGGCCTGCTGTAGAGCAGACTCTTGGGACGCACCTCTTGAACTGAGAGAATAGTGAAAACATTAAAGTCAAGGACAATGGTGGCTGCTTCCCTGGCTTGTGTTGCTCCTTGCCAAGACCAAGTTTCCTCAGCTAGAGCTGTGTTTATTTAGTCAATACACCTTCCCTTAGCACCTACCAAACCTTGTGTCATGCCCTCAAGGAGCATGAAGTCTGGAGACAGACATGCCCCACGGAGGCACCTAACCCCCCCTAGGTGGGTAAGGAAGGCTTTTTGGGGGGGAAGGGGCCAAACAAGTAATGTCACTAATAATTAGCAAATCTAGGTTGACTCCAGAGTTAGAGCATGTAACCACTATACTCTACTCGCTCCCAAACAGGATAATAAGTGTAATAACTGCTAATATTTACTGGACTCTTTGGGCCAGATAACAAGCTAAGCACTTGCCTTGCATTGTCCCATTGAGCACAAAGACATTTATACCCAATGCATTAGGTGCTATCACTGTTACTACCACACTTACAGAGGAGAAGAAATTCGGTCTCAAAGAAGTAAAGTGACTTGCCCAAGGTCAAGGAAGTGGCCAGAATTAGGACTCGAACCCGGGTCTGCCCAACTCGAAGTTGCATTTGAACCACATGGTTCCATTTGAACCTCAGGGAGTGCTGCATTGCAAGAATGAGGCCACGCTAGGAGAAGACAGCAAGACCCCAGGCGCATAGATGGGCCAGGCTGGGGGCGCCAAGCAGCTGCTTGACACGAGGTGAAGTCACAAATGGTTACCTGGGATGGCGACCAAGTTCTGCAGCTCCTGCTTCAAGTCCATGATGTCTTTGCAGAGCTGGATGTCATCCATCCTGGGGAAACAGGACACCACGCAACAGCAGGTTACATCAACAGAGCGCTGCATCCTGAGCACCGCCCCGGCTAAAACAAAGAGGGCTTGTGAACGTGGGTTACCCCTTGTTAAGGCCACACGTGCTCCTTGTGGACATCTTCCCTCAGAAGGAGACAGCCAAAACCACCCACCGTCTCACCACGTAGAAATGATCGATCACTGTTAATAACACCTTGATAAAGTTCCTTCCCATCTTCAC